ATATCCATGCTTAATTTGGACAATTTACATTTTTTTGCATCTAATTTGCACGTTTTAGCATCTTGCACATTTTCTGTTTTTGCGTCGTTGTTGTTTACTGCATATTGTATGTACAGGAATCATTTTTGTGTTTTTTTTTTTGTTTTCTATGTTTCTGCGCCTGACAAAATGATAATAAAACGACTGAACTGATTTTATAAATGCCTTGAGGAAATATTTCAGATAAACTTATCAGTGGATATCTTTATGTTTTCTAGATGCTGGCAGAGGATGCAGAGGCCGGAGCTGAGGATGAGAAGGAGGTGGAGGAGCTGAAGAAGCAGGGGATCAACCCTCTCCCCAAACCCCCTCCTGGAGTCGGCCTCCTCCCCACCCCTCCTCGGCCTGTTCCTATAGACCCCAACACCGGGCCTGGGGATTTTGGCGGGCCTGTGCCGGGTGACTTTGGGGGTATTCCTGGACCTAACCAGGGGCCCATGCCTAACAAAGATCCCCCAGGACCAGGGCCTGTTCCTGGGCCTAACCCCTATGCTGGCCCCCCTGTCCATTGCCCAGAAGGAGGTCCGTTCCAAGGCGGGCCCCCAAATCCCAATTGCCCTCCTCCACACATGGGCCCCCCACCTCCCTGTGGTGGAGGGGGAGGTGGTGGGGGGAAGAAAATCCCCTCATTGTTTGAGATTAAAGTTCAGCCGACAGGACAGCTGGCTCAGAAACTGGCCGTCAGGTGAGATATTAGAAATTAAACACTAAGAATAAAAGATCTTTTTATATTCTGTAGAAAATGAATGTGGTGATTTTATGTAGAGTGACAAAGAGTGCAACAGTCAAATATAATACTCCACGAGACTCCACCTGTAGGCTTAAACGCTGATGGCTGTAGTTAAAACAAAGGTAGATCTAAAGTCTACCTGAGTATTTATCTATCTATGGGTACAGATTATACGTCTGTACCAGCAATAGCCGTGGCATTATGTGTATTAAATGGGATTAAATGATCAGTAGATACGTAATAAAGTGACATTTAATTTATTAACATGTTAAGTTACTCTTGAACTCCTCTTAACTTCTCCCTTTGAGATCCACTCTGTGAATCCTAACGCCTGCTGCCTCTTCTCTTATCAGGAGCCAGACTCCCAGTGGCAACCAGGGGCAGACTGCACCACCTGGACCCCAAGGGGCCCCTGGTGGCCCTCCCCCTCGCTTCCCTCCTCCCCCAGGCATGATGTCCCCTGACATGCAGAACATGGGACCCAACCTTGGGATGAACCAGGGGCCCCCGAACATGGGTCCCGGTGGACCGCCCATGATGGGAGGATTTGGCGATGGCCCACATGGAGGTGCGATGCCTCCAGGTCCTCCTCCGGGTGGAGGAAACTTCTTTAATAACTTCTTCAATCAGCAGGATGGAATGAAGATGGAGGGAGTGATGGAAGAAGGTGAGAGTGAATTTCAGTAATCAAACTGAATTAAAAGCTAAAAGAAAAAGTACTGAGTTGTATTTTTTAGGTTATTTTAGGTGTTTCTGTACTGATGTTTGATGTTTGCCCTCGCTGTTCCCTCTCAGGTGACAGTTACCAGGGTTTTTCCGGTATGGACGAGAGAGGAGGGGCAGGGAAATTTGGTCAGTCAGGTGGCCAAGAAGGCTCTGCTAATGGAGCGTCGGCCAATCAGGGAGGGATTTCTGTGCCTGACTTCCTGCCTCCGGCGCAGCGCGTCCTGTTCATGAGGATCCAACAGAAGCAGCAGGAAGAAGAGGAAAGAGCTCGCAGGATGGCCGAGGGAGGAGCCGAGAAGAGTAGAGACACTGAAGGTAGAGGAAAAGCATCATCAACTATTAGTCATTCTTTTGTAATGGTTAGCTGTAGTCCTCCTTTGTATAATCTTTTTGTCATTTATCTTAAAAATTCCCCTTTTCATATGTCTCCTCCTTCATGGTTAAAACACTATATTTAGTAGGCAGTCTTCAGGAAAGTGTTGCATTTCTTCAAGGTTAATCAAATGTTTGTGTAAAGTTAATCTAATTACGTTTTGTCTGTCCTTTCCTAGGTGACTCAGGGAACTGGTACTCCAGTGAGGATGAGGATGGCGGTGGCAGCGTGACCTCGATCTTGAAGACGCTCCGTCAGCAGACCCAGGCCCCTCAAAAATCTGACGGCCCCCCGATCGACCCTCGCCTCCTGAAGGCCCCTCCTGCCAACACTCCGGCTCGGCCAGCAGACCCCCGCTTGGCTCGGGACCCACGCCTGGCACGTGCTTCAGACTCGGCCGACTCCGCCCACTCCATGCCCCCATCTTCTGGACCTCCTGCAGACCCCAGGTTAGCCCGGCTAACGGCTGCTGCCTCCGCTGGATCCAGCTCCCTCTCGCCTCCTGCTCCTAAAGCAGAGCCTCCTCTGGTCTACAAGCCGCCGCCGCTTACAACCCCAGCAGCGGACGAGGAGGAGACAGAGCGAGTTCTACGGGACAAGCCGGTACCAATTCCCCTGGACCCGCTCATGGGTATGGCTCTGAGAGATCCACGCTCACAGCTGCAACAGTTCAGCCACATCAAGAAGGATATTCTTCTCCACATGCCGGCCTTCTCCAAAACCATCACCTGGTCGCCTGAAGATCTCCTCCCTCTCCCTCTCCCCAAGCAGGACCTCCTTCCTCTCCCACCAGGCATCCCTCCTGTATCCTCCATAGACCCGCGTCTGTCCCGCACTCAGCCGCCCCTCCACACACCGCTCCCTCACTCACAGCCTCCCCCCGTACAGCCTCCTCCCTCCATGGACCCCCCGGCTCCCTCTTCTTCCACTTCTTCCCTCCCAGACTTTGAGCTGCTTTCTCGTATCCTGAAGACTGTCAACTCCAGCCCGTCCCAGACTCCCTCCCCTCCTCTCTTACCTACTCCTGTTCCCCCTGTGTCGCTGCTGGGTCCACCTCCCCCGGTGCCTCCCGCACCTGTAGAAAAGCCTGTTGACCCCCGTGTGGCCCGTAAACTCCCTACAGACCCCCGTCTTCAGCCTCAAAAGTCAGCACTGAAGCAACCATCAGATCCCACTCCTCCTCCTGTCGCCTCTACCTCTCCAGCAACGACATCTAGCTCCTCCCCCACTACCATCGCCCCCTATGACCCGAGGCTGCTCTCCTCAGGTGGAGCGGGCCGCGGTGTGGGAGCTGCGGCACCAGGGGGAGCCAGTGTGCTGAGCAGCATCAGTCTATATGACCCTCGGACTAACAAACCAGCCAGCCCTGGTACCAGCAGTGGCTCTAACAATTCCCCCAACTCAGCCAGCACAGAGTCCAAACCCAGTGAAGCGGTACCCACGACGGGTAAACCCAAGTCCAAGGAACCCCTGTTTGTTCGTAAGTCTGCGTTGGACCAACCAGAACCAGAGAAAAGTGTCGAGCAAGGGACCGATAGATACAACAGCTATAACAGGCCTCGGCCCAAACCTGCGCCCTCACCGAACTCCACAGCTCAGGGAGGACCGGCTGCAGCCGGGTCAGCCGGCGCCGGGGGTCAGGGGGCTCCTGGAGCTGCTGCGGATCAGGGACCAGCCGGTGTCCACAACCTACCGGTGTCCACTCTGTTCGGCGTGGTGAAGCAGGCGGCCAAGCCCGGTGGGACGAGTAGTCCGTTTGGAGGTAACAGCCCGGTGCAGTCGGAACAGGCGACCGCGGAGGACAACGGCTCGCTGAAGGAGGTTTTCAAAGGCTTTGACCCGACAGCCTCCCCCTTCTGCCAGTGACCCCCCCTCCACCACCAGTAACAGGCCGTTGGCTTGTTTTAACATTTTTGGACACAGATGAGTGAAAATGAGAAAGAAGCGCACTGAGGCAACTTGCCTGTAAGACTGTTTAAGAAGACAAACTTTTGTGAACAAACTGATGTCTCACAACATGTTTCATGTCCACACACACACACACAGAGAGAGTGCTGCAGATTCAGATTCTATAAAAGACTTTGGGTTATGGGAAGGGTTTAAAGTTAAATCTCTAAAGCTCTATTTTAAACAGACTTATTGATGTATAAATAAATGTATTCTCTTCATCTCAATGCTTAACGAAAACAGTTATTCTGACAGCAGCAAAAAACATTTATATGGAATGAACATTTTAGCTTCACATCTTATTTCATTACCTTCATTCTTTTCAGTTCCTCTGCTCAATTATTTTGTACATTTTCTCCTCATCTTTGAACAGTTTGATTTGCCTCTCTGTATTTTTGGGGCAGTCACAGTTGACTATGCTCCTGGCAACAGATGAAATGATACATCTCAATTTTTTTTCCCAACAAGAAATTGCTTATTTGTGGTTTTTTTTGTGAATAAGTGAACAGCACTGAGGCAACTCCTTTAACATTGTTGCCCATCAGAAACAGATCATCCTCTATATCACTGCCTTTGCATTTACTGTCGTCTTCATCCCCCGTGCAAGCTGTTCAGTTATGTCGAACAATAGCATACATTTTGTCATTATCACTCACTATGTCAGTTTCTGCAGGAACAGTTGCAAATACCTAAACTTAAATCTATATTCTGCTTTTTTTTTTTTAGTATTTATTTTTCTACTTCTTTGCACTGTCAGTTTGTGTCCTCTGAGGGCTGTATTAATGTTTTTAATGTCTGTAGCTCCTCCAGCTGTTCATATACTGTTTAATTTCAGGTATTTAGCTCTTACCCAAAACAGGTAACTTTGCTGGTACAGGAAGGGACCTGTGACCTTTCAGTCCCGCCTCACTAACCACTACGCCACTGTTGTCCCCCCCCAACCCTCATTTACTTACAGTTTTCACAAGTTTTCACGTAAACATTTTGTTGTATCGGTTTGTGAAAATGGAGAGCCTCAAGTTCACAAATGACAGCTTCTGTAGCTTTAAGGTAGAAGAGATGGAAAATAGACCTCGCTGGTCGGACTGATGACAAACACATCCCTCTCTGGCAGATTTTAGCCACAGCATCAATAGGGAACATTAAAAAAGTTTGTTCTTTTCTCTGCTGAACAGGTGATTTCAAAGTCGGCCTTGGTTGGTTAACACTTCTTACCTTTTGTTCCCCCACCTTGATCAGAATAAAAGACTTTGATTCACTGACTCAGAATTCACCATTTAGCCTTTAGCTTTTAGTTATTTTGTTTTATTAAATGTTTAGTTGAGAATGGAAAGAAACCTTACAGGACAGGACTGCAGATTTCTACGAGTGGTTGGTGAAATGGAATAATTTGCAGCCTTACAGCAGCGTTTTGGCGTCAGTGGCTGGTGACAGTGTGACAATCATAAAGTAGACTTGGACCTAAAATTAAATTAATGCATGAATCTTGCATTGATCTGTGCGGGTGCTCCCTCTACTGTCAGCCTGAGCTCTGTATAAAGAGGACCATGGCATCCAGATTTCAGATCTTAACATGATCTGTGTTTAAAAAACAAACAAAAAATAAAAATCAGTACAGACTGAACGTGGTTTTCTCTCTCAGGCTTGCAGCAAAAAGAAAGTGCACACTTCATGGTGGAAATGTTGATTTGAGAGGGATTCACAGTTTAAAATGTTTAAATATTTCCTCCAGAACACACCCTTCCTAGTTTCTACACCTTACAATAAACAGTTGAAGTCAGAAGTCAGTGCAGAATCTGAATCAGGGTGAGGATAAGCGAGTTGTTCCCGTTTTTGCCTGGAAAGCCAGTGATTCATTGCCAGGCTTGTTTGAAAACCTTTAAACATGGGATCACTGTAGTGGAGCTTATAGAAGTCTTTTGAGTTCCAGAAGGTTAAGATTGTACAACAGCTGTCAAGATTGTTGACCGTCTTGTGTATAAATGTTGATCATTTTAATTTATTTTTTTATACTTGGGTAAATATACTTCCTCACTTGACATTTTTGAACTGAATCATTTTATATGTCAGGAATATGTGATTACCACTCACCTCAGTGGGACGTGTAGACAGCCTGTGACAGTGTGAAGAGAGGGGAAAGACATATTTTTTTATTTGGTTTCGTGTATGAAGATTCAAACTAACAAAAATTCACTAAGGCTCCCTCCTGCCAGGTCATAAAAAAAAGCCTGTTTGGGAGGCTGAGTTTCAGCTATAGCAAGCGTGAGAGTTATTGTTGATTTGTTATTTCCTTTATGGCTTTGTTGTTTTATAAGTTAGTTTTTCTCTTGCTATGTAAATTTGACCAGTACCCTGTCTTTGGAGGAGTGGAGTTTTCTAACTGTACACTGTAGGTGAGGTTGTCAAAAGTATTTAAATAAAGTTGATACATGATCAACCAGTTAAAACTATATTTTCTGTATTTTTATTACCTCAGTTGATTAATTTTCTAACTGTTATGATTGTTGTTACCTAAATCAAAATGAATAAACATGACCTGCTGTCCTCAGGCGTCATCCTCAGACCAAACATCACATTTTTGCCCTGCTTGCAGTCAGGAACTAAGAAGAGTCTTTTATCCACACAAGAATTTTATATCTGCTGTGTAACGAGTATCACAGCCTCACATTGATACTAGTGAGGCTATAAACGTCTAATCTTGTTATTGTTACAGTCGTAGCTGATGTTGACAGCAGAAGCAGCTTAAGTTGTAAAAGCTACTATTTCTGTCATCATAGCAAACTAAAATAAAAATCCTTTTGTTTGAATGAGACTGTGTGGGATTGTGATTCCTCTGTTTTTTGAACAAACGTCTTGCAGAGAAGCACTAACACTTATTTTAAGCTACTTTGACAACCAGACGGGTGGGGTTTAGTTACTTAGGGTTCCTCTGGTGGGTTGACGCTGTGGTCAGTGAATGGACCTTTCTTTTCCTGTGACTATTTTAATTTTCTTTGCCTTGTTCTGTTGTTCCGTCGTCCTGCCTGTGTGGTACTCCAGTTAAATCATGAATCCTTTTGAAGTTGCCAACAATCAATCCTAAATCCCTTCATTGCTCACAGTTAGAGCTCTAGTGATTGAAGCTGAGCGGCTCTCGTCTCGGCCTTTGTGGATCTGGATTGGCACCCCAGCAACACGCAGCCTGTTTCCTGGTTCACTACGATCCTCTAGTGACTCACTTCCTGGTCCCCTCCCATCCTGCAATACTGGCTCCAGGAAGACCAACTATTCATCCAGTACCTCAAATGTTTCCTATCACATACACTAACAAACACACACACACACACACACACACACACACACACACTGATTGGGTACTCAACCATCGAGCTGCATATTGCGCCTCTTTTGACCTTCAGAGCAGCTGTTGTTTATCGTAGATTCACAAAAATGTTTAGATGTTCTGAGCATGACTATTCTACATGAAGAAGATTGTGTTCTGCACTTTTGCTTACAAATCAAAGATCTGAAGATGCTTAACGGGGTTGCAGATGTTGCAGATGTTGCAGAGGACCTGATCCTGGAAGTATTCTGTGGCAACAATTATTTATTTTTCCATTGTTGAAATGCTGTTTCTTTTTTAAAACATAAATACTATCATTCTAATACATCTACCCATGCTGTGCAGACTGTACTGAATATACTGTCATATCCACCTCCCTCATGTACTTAAAGAAACCTGCACGTAAATATTTATTTCTGCATCCTTTGCACTATTGTCTACTGTCTACAAATGTTATTGTTTTATTTGTTTATATATATGTTTAACTGTACATATGTCTCTTATGAGTCAAATTCCTTGTATGTGTGCACATACCTGGCCAATAAAAGTGATTCTGATTATCAAATATCATCAGTCAAACAGCTAAATACAGTCATATCAGAGATGCTGGAACAACTAAATATAGCTCCAGCCATCGTACCACGTACAGTTCTAAACTCCACTCATTCTGCCTGTTTCATAAATAACTGAACTCTGACGGTCTCTGGCTGCTGGGAAATGCCAATGGGTCTGAACAGTAAAGTGATGTTCATTATGATTTAGTGAAGATGAGGGCGTACCTATCAAACTAGAAAATCATTGACACCTGCAAGTCAGAACAGCTAAAGCGTGATACAAACTGATGTCACATCGAGCGAGTGGGCAGGTATCTTACCACATACTCTACCTGCTGCATGAATCATTTTCTTTCCCACAGTGGTTCTCCCACACACACACACACACACACCGCAAAGTTTAGAGATATTTATGATTTAGCTAAGTGGATTCCTATGCTGTGCAACCGTGTGTTCTGTGGAAATATCTGTGTCACATGACGTGAGCAACACTGTGCTGTGTGTGTGATTGTGTGTGAGTGTTTGAAGAGCCAAATGGTTTAAATTGTGCGCACAAATATAACAGCTGTCAGATATAAAACAGTTGAAAAGTCGACATTAACATGTTTTGATTGTAACTTTGAGCTGATTTGTCTTCATATTCTGATGTATTGGTTTATTTGGAGCTCTAAAATGAATTTAAATAATCTATATAGCACCAACACTCAGATATACATCATATATACATACACTTATTCATACATGTATTCAGCTACTGTAGTTTTAGTTGTCTTTGTTGAGTCTAAAGTCTAAAACTTACTTTAATAAGTCATTCTGAATCATTAATGACACTAACACAGCTCAAGTTAATTACTCACCATGTGATTATACAATACAATTACAATACAGTTTCGGTTAAAATTGCCCAATAAAGGGAATATGCTGTGTTATTGTAACGTTAATAATTAATACATATCATTATAACTTATTTTTTCCACCCAACTGTATTTATTTTTCATCATGAAATCTCTTGGATTCTTTTAGATTTTAAAACAAATACAGCAAGTGGGACCTTTGTTTCATGTCCTTCCTCTTCTATGTCTCCCCTCATTTCCTGACTCCTCCCTACTGTCATCTGTCTAATAAAGGAATACAATAGCCAAACAACACCTTTAAAACAATTCTTAAGTTTAATTTCATTCTCCAGTTTCTCTGGGGGGGAAACAAAGCGGACAAACTGTAACATCCTCTAACAAAACAATGACAGTATCACAGATGTTTATAATATTTAGAAGATGGTATGACAATCAGAATCAGAAATACTTTATTGATCCCAGAGGGGAAATTTGTTAACAATAAGTCTTATACTGCTGAATTTGTATAACGTGGTGCAGTGATTTTCCGGCACTATTTCACTCCTGGTGTTTCCCAGAGTTCCCTGAAGCACTGACAAGTTGTGGGCTCACTGTATCTTTTATCAGTAATCTGCTTAGCTCCCTGTTCAGGGAAGCTACCTGCGGTGAGTGTATATATAGAAGACCTGATCCTCTTAGAGGATGACTTGGGCTGGGATTTGGAGATTGACGGCCTGTCAGCAGCAGTACTGTTTCTGATGACTGGAATCTGTCTCCATTCAAAAAATGTGTTATGCCAAATACTATTAAAGACCTTTGCTCAAAACTAATTAAACATTTAACAACAGCTCAGTTTATGACCATCGTCTACGTCAAACAGAAAACAGCTTTGTGATAGTTTTTTCTTCTCAGCGCCCACGCTGTCTAAGAGTCTGTCTGTCTCTGTGAGTTGCTTGTTGTAAGCTGTACCAGATAAGAGTTTCTGTTAAATGCCAAACATTTTTGAATGTGAATTACTGCCTCTAATTCCCTCTATGTCTTCGTCTCATTATGTCGGGAGACAGTTGCTCCGAAAAAGCTGCAAATCCAATTAAAACTTAACTTCCAGTCTGACTTTCCAAATCCTGTGAAACTGCAGCATCCACCTGTGGCAACATCAGCTCATAGGTTCACTAAAATACATTTGGTGTTGTTGTTATGCTGCACAGTATCTACACAATCCTGAAGCTGTGTTATCACCCTGTTTATTAGACTATTAGGAACTGTGTGTGCTGGAGCAGATAAAACACCACATACTCAACCATCATTGTGTTATATCAGTAGGACGTGTATGTCATTGGGAATGACATCAAATGTCAGCCGTTGTGTCAAATAACCTGATTAGTATTTTTTAAATGTCATTACATAAAAACTATATCCAATCTGAAATGAACAATGAAATATTTATGAATCTGAAAGACTCAAACTGAGGATATAATTGTTTGAAGGGGAACGGATTAATCAAATCATCTCATAGTTGAAGCCATGTGACCCCAATCAGTTACATTTTTAACCCAGGGGACATCGTTTTGAGGTTTAAGCTGACAGAAACAAGTTATATTAACAGCTATTTACTGAGTTATATATTTATATCATTGTTTTAGCACAAGATATAATCCAGATGTATACAGAAAGAAAATTGTCACTACCAACAAAAACACAAAATCGGAACCAGCTAACAGTCTTTTAACAAGCAAGATTTAGAACTGTAGAACTGCTCCATATACTGGATTATGCAGCAGTCACATGACTATTTTTGATAATGCATGTAATTATGCATTATAAAAAATATGGAC